AGTGCTTTAAAAGAACTTGAACTACACACTGAAATCAGGGTGGCTCGAAAATACGATAAATTTTGATGTTCTATTGGAATTTTAATCTGTTTTTCTACGTTGCAGCATCGGTTACTATTTATAATCTTCGCACAACTATTTTATGTTGAATAGAAGAATATTCAGGGCTCTGTTCTTACATTCTAAACTCGAAATTCAGTGACTTGTAAAAAATAAATTCAGAGAGAAATTCATAAATTCATTTACTGCATTCAAACTTATGCAGATATATACCTTACTCTCTCCCCCCCTCCCTCCCTTCCATTTCAAATGTATCACACTTTATCCCTATAAAATCGGAAAGGGTTATTCAATGTCAGTGATGTCGCGTCATTGATGTAATTTATTTGAACTAATTCGATCTGATGCGTTCGATTCCTTATCAAGCTAATTATTGTGAATTTTCAATATCAACAAATGAATTCTAAAGCTTCAATTTTGTGATTCCAAAACGTTCTCGACTTACCACAGATGAAAAATGAGAGGACGGCTGCAAAAAGGATCCAGTAGATTCGATAGTAAACATTCCAACTGGCTCCTGAAATTTTCGGTCAATGCCTTGCTTGAAATTTTAGTGGTTCTCTTCCAAATTATGCAGTTATTATTGCCGTTCCCGTGATTACTTTCAACTGTGCTCAATATGAATTTTGCAGTAAATAATTCATTTCAGTTCTTGTCTACTTTAGCACCGGTTGGATTTGTGGCTATATGTTAATGAATATTTCAGCAAAAATGATTCTTGAAATCGTTAGTGCGTAAGAATTCTGCGGCCTTTTCTCTACCCACACTGGGATGGATTTATCCGCAGATGAGCAAAAACAATGGTGAAGTTGATAGTACTAAGAGTGAGAGAGATAATGCAAAATGCATTTGCTAATGGAAATAAGTCTACAAATACTGAATTTTTTGAAGAATTTGTAATGAATTTTTCATAGCGAGTTGAAATACTAGATTTGGAGCATTTGGAACATGTATTCATTCTCTTCTCATGGTCTCTTAAAAATGAATAATGTTAATATGATGCAATACTTTTTGTAGTCCATCATATTCCCATAAGGCAGTAGTTCATTTTCGGAAAACATGCAATTAAAAGAAGACTATTTTTGCGATTTGATACTGCAAGTCATCTGACTTGCATTATACTTTTAAGCATTCATAATCTTATGATTGCTTAAAACGCCCATTACTTTGAAATGTCGGTCCAGGCAGGCGATTATTTTTGCATGTTTGCTCAAAGCCCTTCACCATTCTGTCAATCAAATTCTTTGCAGCAAAATTTATGCATTCATATTGGCAATTTGCATTACGTTGATGCAAAGCAATAGGCGAAGAGTTCGAGTGAAAAGTTAGAATTTCGATGTTACATTCTGGAATCGCCGAAGTTGATCTCTGCCGAAGCAACCCCATATCAATCAAAAAAGCACCAGTGAGCGTAACCAGCGTGAAAGCATCAGCGTAATACCAATCACCATATCGGCTTATAAATGGTGTCATATGAGTGAACGAATATGTGAAAGAACATTCGCAGCAAACGGAAAACCCAAAAAATTTCCGCAGAAACCATCGCAATGTGAATTTGTCTTGAATTAACAACAGCGTGCAGCACTCACCCGCCGAACAAGTGGAGACTATTGGCCCGATCGGGGTCCGAATGAACTGAGCGCCTGTTCCCACAAATGAATACGCAACACTAATGGAGAATCGAATCCATGAAAAACCCGATTGTTGCTGAAGAATT